CCTACCTACCTACCTACCTATCTATTCTCAAGAGAATGACACGTGATCTGTAATGACTCTGAGAAAACATTGCGTCCAAATTGAAGAGGTCTGTAGCCCGAATCTCAGTGTCTGTTATGTCCTCTTAAAATGGAAGAAAGTTCTTTGGACTACTGGATTTACTACTGGCTCTTTTTGATAAGCGTAAAGCATCTTTCACATTATTAATAGATGGTTGCACTCTACTAGAACAAAATGAAGACGACCAAGAAAATAGCAGTGATAAAGTGGAAATGGACGAAAAGAAAGGGTTGCATTTGATAGAAGACCCAGTGTGTATTACGTTAGAATATTATGGGTAAGTCACTCACGATCATCTAATAAATATAAAGTACGTTTATTTGTCGTCAAAGGGGAAGAGGATAGCAAGTTCACAGTTCTAAAAGTCCTTCACTAACGTTGATCGGTGTTTTTTTTAATGAAAAAGTTTTCCAGTTAACTTTCATTCCTCGATAATAAAAAAACACAGGCATACCAAAAACTACGGCGCGCCGAACGGCCAAACATAAACTCGCTACCAGCTGAGCGGGGAATTTTGTTTTAGCCAATCACAGCGCGTTTAGCTATTTTGCCGCCGGCTCTCATTCCCAGGCTACTGTAACCCAACTTTTGCGTATTTTTCTGTTTTCTTTCGACTAAAATATATTATCCGTTCCTAAAAAGAAGCAGAAATATGGAAAGGAAGAATAAAAACGATTTCACTTTACCGCCATGCATGTTTGCGTCGTTCTTTCAAGCTCCAAAAATGCTTAGGGCCAGTCATCTTGTCCACTCGTGCTTTGCCCGCCGCGTTCACCTCTCAGCTGGTAGCTATTTGAGGGCTTTAGAACGCGAGAAACGTATGAGAACATTCAAAAATAATAGATGTCGTAATAAACTTTTCAAACACTTTTGATTACCAAAACCGATATTCGTGAGAGAGAAAATACCCCATGAAATCGAGATAAATTCAAACCGGCAAAGAAATATAAAGCCACAGGGTTCCCGCTTGAACCTAAATTCAATCAGTCTGGTAAGCCTGCGTAATATCATACATTCTTAGTTACTTGCTTTCCTCTTGTACRCACGCAGATCCAGTTTATTTGGGAAGCACGGGTAGCGTAGCGGTGAGAGCGCTCGCCTCTCGCCAATATGCGACCCGAGTTCGAGTCCCGCCGGGTTCGGTGTCGTATGTGAGTAGAGTCGTTTGTTGGTTCTCTCCTGTGTAGTATGTGAGTAGAGTTGTTTGTTGGTT